TCGACATCGTTCCGCGGAGGTGCCCGGATCGTCCAGGACGGCCGCCGGAGGGCCGAGCCATGGCCGGAGATCCGACGAGGTGGTTCAAGGGCGCCCTCGAGGGCGCGATGTTCATCGCGCTTCGCAGTTTGGCTCCGAGTCGTCCTCGTCCTCTTCTTCTCCCTTGGGGGGAGACCTCGAGGGCGCGATGTTCTTCGCGCTTCGCGGTTCGGCTCCGAGTCCTCCTCGTCCTCCCCTTCTCCCCTGGGGGGCGCCCTCGAGGGCGCGAAGTCCTTCGCGCGTCGCGCGCGAGAGCGCGCAGTTAGGCGCCCTCGTGAGCGTCTCGATCGGGAGGTTCTTCTACGATCCCGGCCTTCGGGGGCCAGTTGTCGGGCCCCGGGGATGCGAGGGGCGAGAAGCGGCCCCCCGGGAATCGGTCGGCCCCTCCCTGGGGGCCGCGGGCGCGGACGAAACACGCCGGCGGACGCCAGGGCTGCTGGAGCTGGAGGCCGAGTGCTTGCCCAGCAGCCTATCTACCGAGCCGGGCGGCAGCGATTCCGAGAGCTTCGCCGACGAGAACCTGTTCGCGAAGGTCGCCCAGCGGCGCCGCATCCGGCGCAGCGTCACCGCCAACCAAGGGCCGGGCCTTCCGCAGCACGCCCTGCCAGAGATGACGATGTCGAGAATCCTCATGCGGCGTCGGTTGGCCTGGAGCTCCTATCGAGTGGCTTTTCGGCCCATCCCGCCCTCGTGCCCTGGTTGTAGGTCAGAGCCTCCTGGATGCCTGTGCACAGGATTTCTTGGGAGGCCCCTCGGAAGCCTCTGGGAGGCCTCTCGGGAGCCCCTCGGAGGCCGCTGGCCGCTGTGCCCTTGGGAGAACCTTCAGGATTGAGGGCTGATGACCCCAAGGACCTGAGCACGCTCCAGCTCGTGCCTCCCCGGGCACGGCGGCGGATGGTTCCGAGGACAGCCTGTCCAGCGGGACGAGCAGCATCAACAGCCTCGGCGAGTGAGGCCCGGCTGCGGAGGCGGCTCGGGCTCGCCGGGCCGGGGCGCCGCGGGCAAGACCTCCCAGGCGCCAGCCCAGACGCCGCGTCGGACGAAGGGTCGGGTCGGGCGAAAGGGGGGACATGCAGCAGGTACACGACATCAGAAAGTGGCCCGCCAAGAGATGGCCCACGGGGATGTCTGATCTCCCGACGGGCCCCACCGGAGCCCCGGGGCACCCGGCGGAGCTCAGGGGCGATGGAAGACGCGGCCCCCAGATTTCTCATGCAGCAAGGTCTTGTTTCGTGTGTGCCTGCTGGAAAAAAGAAGGGGGGCACGAAATCTGCCGCATGCAGCTGGTTTCGGTTCCGCCGCTGGGCGCAGTCCTTCATACACTGGCGCCCAGCGGCGCCAGGAGGCGCCGGAAAAGCCAGCCGCGTCAGCTGATTCGCTAACCCCCCCCTGCCGCTAACTCCCGCTTCCGTCCGCCCCGAGAGATCCCTCCCTCGCTCCGTCCCGCTCCCGTCAGAGGCGGAGATCTACCCACAACCACAGCTTGGGGGATCGATCTTCGGGGACGTCGGCAGGCGGGGATATGGACACATTCGGGGCCCCTGGGCCCGACATGTACCCATATCTACCGCCCGCTGGGGTCCGACGACGTCGGTTCCCCAGGCGGTGGATCTGGACATATCCCCGCCTCGCATCCCGTCTCGCACTATCAGCACCAGATAAATGTTCAAAACGCTGGGGGCGTTTCTTTGTTTTTTTGAATCATATATAATAGATATATAGTTATAATATATATATATATATCTTTTCCCCTTCGTTTTCAAAGATCGACGTTTTCTTTTCCGTCGGGGGGTCCGTGCGCTTGTCCCTTTTGGGGGGTTCTTGTCTCCTCATGTCTGTCCTCTGCTCTGCTCCGCTCTGGACTTGCCGCTCTGTGCCCCGGCCTGGCCCGCCGCACGCCGCGCGAGCGTCGAGCGCGAGACAGCGACACGCCCCCGGCACGCTGCGCACCGGCGCGCGCCTCGCCCGGCGGGTGCCCCTCCGCCCCGCCCGCCCCCTGCGCAGGAGAGGGATCCCTCTCCTGCCACTCATCCCGCGGCCGAGGAGGAGGAGGAGTAGGAGGAGAAGGAGGGGAGGAAGGAGCATGAGGAGGAGTGAGGCAGGAGTGCGGCATGCGAGGAGGAGGATCAGTGTGGAGGATTTAGGTGAGCCAGGATTAGGAGGTTAATAATTATTGAGGAGGTGAGGATTTGAGGGGGTAGGAATGAGGAGGTGGGAGTTGGGCATGGGGATCAGGATTTAGTATTAGTTTAATTGAAGTTTGATGAGGAGGAAGTTATTATTATTAGTAGGAGGATAGGATGTCGGAGGGGGGGGACTGCCCCGCCGCCCGCCTGGGCCCGCGGGACGCGGCCCGCTGCCGAGGCGGGGAAGGGGAGGGGGGAGGGCCACAGCCACACAGGGGGGCGAGGCGGCGCTGTCGCTGCTGCCCCCGCGCGGGGGGGGGCGGGCATGCCGCCCGGGCGCGGTGCCGTCTCCCGCCCCTGCTGCTGCACGGGCGGGCGTGGGGTGTAGCCGGCCCCTGCGCCGCGTGGGGACCAGCACTGCACGTCGCTCGGGAGGGGGAGGGGCGGCTTCGCGTCGATGAGCCCTCGCCATAGTGGTGATCGATGAGGCAGCGTCGATGCAGCGTCGATTTGGCGCCGGTTAGCGTCGATCGCCGTCGGTTCGCAAGAGCCAGCCAGATGGTACCAGCACTGCACGTCGCTTGGGAGGGGGGAGGCCGATGACAATGGATCGAAGGAGAGCAGGCTGCTAGGATGCAACTCCTGGGAGGTTGCATTCTGAATCGGCGCTGTATTTTTGCCTGGTCGAGAACTGGCCTGATCCAGCTCAGTCCCGCTTAGTCACCAAATCCCTCTTAGTCTGGCTTGATCCCGCTCAATCTGATTTAATCCCGCTTAACCCGGCTTGCTCTTAATTTGGCCTCATCCGGGCCAGTGACCCCAGATTTGGCCGTTGTAGCCCGTCGCCGCTCTGACAGAGGCCTCTCATGAGCTGCACCCTGAACGCTGCAAAAGAGCCTAAACAGCTTTCGGAGCTTATGCGGACCTCCGCAAGTGTAGGCTCATGCGGAGGCAGCGTCGTCGCCGCTGCCTCCGTGCTGGGCGAGAAAGCGTGCCGCCCGAGCGCCGTGCTGTCCCCCGCTCCTGCCGCCCGGGCGTGCGCGACGCCCCGGGCCCCTGCGTCGGGTTGGGACCAGCACTGCACGGCCGCCCGGGAGAGGGGAGGCCGATGAAACTGGATCGAAGGAGAGCAGACTGCATACACCAGATAGTAAATCGCGGGAGTTTCCGCTCGTCTTGGATCGAAAGCACACCGGCGCAAAGCGCCCAAGAGCGCCCACCAGCGCAGATCATCGCCGAGCAGCGCTCGAGCAGCGCACCACGGCGACCAGCGTCGGTCAAACAGCGCCGTGTGAGGGAGATGCGCGCGATGCAGCGCGACAGTAGGCGCTGTAGGGACGACCACCAGTTTCCGTGAGTTTGTTTTCTGATGTCAGCACAGACTTGCAGTTCTCCGCGCGGACCTCCGAGAGCTTCTGCGCGAGCCGCTCGGACGTCGAGCGGAAGACAACAGCATGGATGTGCAGTCAGTTCGTTGACATGAGGTCGAGGTCGGAGTCGGAAGGGGCTCCGCGGTTCCTCAGGTTTGCATACGCTCCGTGCTATCTCCTGGTTGCGAGCCCCTTGGGCGTTCCTTGGGGTCTGGCACGCGCGGACCCGTTATGTCGATTGGGGCGGCTGGTCGAAGGCACAGAGCCCCAAGAGGGGCTCGGTCATTCCTTCGAATTGTACGTCTCGGCTTGGAAAACAACGGGGATTTGTTAATTCAGCAGCACGACTAGAAGTTTTCAGAGCTCCACGCGGACCTCCGAAAGTTTACGTTCATGTCATGTTTTCTCGCTTCTGCTGGAGGAGGAAGAGGTTGGAGGTGGGGATGTTGCCTCGCAGGTTGCCAGCAGGACCGCCGTCAATGTCCTACTGCAATCGAATCCCCATTGTGCCTCGGTTGTGGTCACAAACGTCGGATTCCACTCGAATGATGCTCGACGCGGAGATCCCAATGCTATCCCTATCCGAGAGGCTTACGCTAGTCCGCCGGCCCCTAAGTCGAGCAGAGTCGTGATGGTTTTTGGAGGGTGCGATTTCGTCCGGGTCCTGTCGCAGAGCCCTTTCTGCGGCCTTCTGGGAGTTCTGGGTGGGCCTCTCAGGGGCCTTTCTGTTCATGCAGTGGTATTTGTTCCCTTGGAGGGGCCAGAAGAGTGCAGTTTTTGTTGTCCCCCAGGGAGGGCGCTTCCTGAGAACTGCTCTTTCTGATGTCGGGGCCCTTGGGGGGCCATGGGGGGCACCCCTATAGGGGGCCCTCTCGGGGCACCGGGGCCCTCGAGCGGCCTGCTCCGAGGGCCTCTTGGGCCGCCCGGGGGGCTCCTCGGGCTCTCGGGGGGCTTTTTTTCGGGGGGGGAGGAGGAGGAGGAGGAGGAGGAGGAGGAGGAGGAGGAGGAGGAGGAGGAGGAGGAGGAGGAGGAGGAGGAGGAGGAGGAGGAGGAGGAGGAGGAGGAGGAGAGGAGGAGAAGGAGGAGGAGGAGGAGGGTCGTTCTGGCGGCGCGTCGGGCCGTCCTGGGCCGTCGGGGGCTCCCCTCCCCTCCTCGACGTCAAGCGCGGCGTCTGCCCACGACGTGGCGACGCCCCTGGGCCCCCAGCTTCAGCGTTGACGCCGACGCTGGCGAGTGCAATCTTTCGGCGGCGCCAGCGGGCCGCGCCGCGCGCGTCCATCACGGAAACTCGGGGGCGAGCGGGTCTGATCAAGACTCGCGTTTGATTTCGAGGGGGGGGCTGCAGGACGAGAACGCGATAAAATTTCAAACATGTTGCGGGCATCGATGTTTGCTTCCGCCCTCCAGGGGAGTCTCTAGTCTCTGGAGGTTCTCTTGGGGCGCCTCGGAGGCCTCCTGGGCCACCTTGAGGCCGTCCGTCTTGGGTCTGCTTCAGAGCTCTTCGGCGCGTTGGAGCCCCTCTGTAGCGTCTTGGGGAAGATATCTTGGGCATTTCTCGAAGCGTCGGGAGCCCGGAAGGTGCGTTGACGAGGCCGGATCTTGGACCTCGTAGGAGGGGGAACCGGCGGGAGAGCCAGGTGTCCTACACGCTTGTTCACCCTCATCAAGTGGGGATCGGTGGACCCTCTACAAGTTGCTCAGGACGTGTCTGAATTGGTGTGCAGCCGAATGCGAGTGAGACTGGGCGTGAGTTGGTCTGGGTCAGACTGAACGCGTGTGATCCAGCGAGTCTGGGTTTGAGTGTAGTGATATTAGAAGAGGGTGGTCTAGCAGCAGCTGTCCAAATTTGATGCCGGATGCGATGCCTGCTCCACCGCTGCGCGAGATCAATGGGCATCTGAAAGGACCCTCGCCCACTGAGCCGAAGCATGCGTTCCTCCAAAATTTGGGCGTCAACGTGCCCGTGATCAACCCAATCGTGGCTACCCCTCTGTTTGATGGCCATGTGCCTAAGTGCGACCCCTGCTACATCGCGGCGGCCATGGGGTTCTGAAAAGACATTCGTCCGTCTACTGAGCCGAAACAAGCGTTCTGCCCGAGAGGCCTCCACAACCTGGGCGCGAACGTGCCCGTGATATACCCCGTGGTCGATCCCCCTCCTGTTGGAGGGCTAAGTGCAATCCTTGCTATAGCGCGGTGGCCGTGGGGTTCTGAAAAGACATTCGTCTATTGGGCCGAAAGAGGCATTCTGCTTCACAGGTCCACACGATCTGGGCGCGAATGGGCCCCTCCTCCTCCCCCGCCTCCTCTCCTCCTCCTCCTCGTCCTCCTCCTCCTTCTCCTAGCCATTTCCAAGTTGCAAACCTTTGTGGCAGCGCCCTGGGAAGTGGCGCAGCTGTCACGAGCCAGGATTGCATGGCACCCGGCCCTCGCCGCGATGTCGCGCCGCCTCCGCTGCGGCAGTGAAAGTGCATGTGGCCGCTGCGGAGGGCGCGCGAACAGGGGCTGGCGCAGCCAGTGCCGGCAGCATGGGAAGAAAACGCCGCCCTGGGTCCTCGAGGCTATCGCAGCTCGCGGGATTCGGGAGCCGCCCACGGCGGCACCGCCAAAGCTCGGAGCCAGCTGGGGCAAGGGGCCCCCACAGCGCTGCGGAGCCGAGCTAGGAGGAGGCGCTGCTGGCAGCTAAGCGGGAGCTTCAGAAGGAGCTGCTCGCGAACCCGACCGAGCACGGCGCGCCAGCGGCGTAGGCGCAGTCTGTCACGGCGGCGCCCGTTGCGCCCCAATTTGATGATGGGATGATGTTTGTTGCACTTACGGAGAACCAAGAAGGAGAAGCAGCTTGAGAAGACTTCGTCGCAGGTGCTTGCAGCGCGAGGGGCGCAAGAGGCCAAGCAGAAGGAGTTGGAGCAGGAGCTGGCGTTTGAGAGGCAACAGGGGATGCGTCGTGCGTGATCACAGCGGTCACCCAGAACAAAAGACGCTTGTCTTCGCAACTCCCGTCCTGGGCAAGGCGCGCGAGGGCAAGTTCGCAGCCGCCGATTCGGACGACTGCCTCGGCAAGCTGCGGGGCACTTGGTGGAGCGGGCGGCGCCCGTCACCGAGTTCTGCTCCCTCCTTGGCAGGAAGCGCACCGAGCTGCGCGCCACAGCGGGGAAGCAGGCCAAGCAGGAGGCGGAGCGCACAGCGACAGCAGCGCAGCAGGCAACTGCTCCTCCGCCTCCTGGCGAGGGTGCATTGGCTGGCTGGGGCGCGATCGGACATCAAGCGAACGATTTCTGACTCCGATGCTCGAGCAGCTCGGGCCTCTGGCTGCGATGCTCGAGGGATGGAGCAAGAGAAGGGAGGAGGGATGGAGGGTTGGAGGGCTAGCTGGATACGGCATTCAAGCGGGGGGGAAGGAGGGCAGGAATACGCAAGACTATGCAGGAACAGCCATTCCTGATTCACTGAATGCAAAAAGCCCTTCAAATTGCCCGCGGGGTGGCGGCGCAGCCTGGGGCTGGCACTGCTGCGGGCCCCGACCTCATCGACCA